GACCCTGGAAGAATTCAAAGTTTTCAGATCCAAATATGAAGTCATCACCAATTACCTCTTCACCATGGGCCATATCTCTCACTTGGAGGAATCTAGGGAATACTTGTTGGACTCACTCAGCCCTGATTTGGAAACTTCAGTCACCAAGGAACTCATCAGCAAGAATGAAATGTTGGCCTCCAGGGATGGTGGGGATATACTTCCAAGCTCCAAGGTTTTAATCACCTACATCCTCAGAGAAGTTCAGTCAGCATCTTTCATGGCCAGAAGAAACCTCTTCAAGATGGAACCCACCAAGGACAACTCTTTTTCCAACTCCACTAAGGCTCCTAGAAATCCCAAGCCTTCTGTCCCTTCTACAAGCAAGTCAACAGACCAGAAATTGGATGAGCTCACTAGGCAAATGGCAGCTTTCACTTCTGGAAAAATGGTCCCCCCTCACCTTGCTGGCACCTCTTCCCAGCAGAATATCCCAGCGCCTAGGAACCCAGACTTCAAGTGTTACTATTGCTTTCAACCTGCCCACAGTACCATGAAATGCAGTCTTCTCAGCTATGATGAATCCCAAGGCCTAGTCATCAGGGAAGGAAAGACTTACAAGCTTCCTGACAATACCACTATCCCCTGGGATACCTCTAGACCAATCAAGCAGATAGTGGATCAGTACTCAAAGGAACCCTCTGGCATCATTTCTTCATTTGGACAACTAGAAGAACTCACTGAAATCCATCCTTCTGTTTATGATGTGGACTTGGGAAAAAGGACCAGATCTTCCAAGGACCAAGATGAGGAGGAGCCAGCCACAGAGAAGAGAAGCAGGAAGGAGAAAGACACTCTTATGGATATGGACCAGGATGACTTACTTAAAATGGCCACTCCCCCTTCCAAGCCTTCTCAGAAACCCAGTCCTCCTGTTCAACCCAAGCCCAGCACCTCTACTCAGACCAAACAAAACTCTGCCCAATCCAAAGTCAGGTTTCAAAACACTGAAGATCCAGAACCCAGCAGTCCCAAAGAGAAGCCTACCAAGAAGACCTATTTGGAAAAAGCTTTGTCAAAGGAATATCCCCAGGTGGATGAGGCAACTGCCAGCAGATTTCTTAAGGAGACCAAGATAGAGCTTAGCTGTGGAGAACTTTTTGCCCTGGCCCCTGGATTTTCTGAGGTTGTTAAAAGGAAAATTTCCAACAGAAGAGTGCCCATTGAACCCAACACCTCTTCCAGCCATGCATCCTTGGAGGACCTTGCTTCTTCCAACCATGGAGCCCTGGATACTGATGAAGAAGAAGACAGGGATTCAACCACTCATTACTCTTGCCCCCTTGGCTACATCAGACTTGGAATAAATGGTACAACTCACCAAGCTCTTTTGGACACTGGCTCCATGGTCAACCTTATTCCTGAAGAAATAGCTCAACAACTTGGACTGGTCATCACAGAAAGAGAGATGAAGCTCAGAGGAATTGGAGGCCACCACACTACCATCCTGGGAATTGCTGAAGGAGTTGAAGTCCAAATTGGAAAGGTCACCAGGGCAGTTCACTTCTGGGTTGCCAAAGGAGGAAGTGTGCAATTCATCTTGGGAAAACCCTTCTTAATGGATGTATCTGCTCAAATCAAATACAATGGACCCAAAGGAGAATCACTTTCAGTCTTGGACAACAAAGGAAATGCCTACTTAATTCCAATTTGCTGGCCCAACCACCACAAATGGGAAACCTCCCTTCCTTCTTTCTTGGTCACCAGGGATTTTTTGGACCAGAGGCAGGATTTCAGATCTACCAAGTAGAGTATCTGGACCTGTCACAACCACCCAAACAACCAGAATTAGTCACCTATGCCACAAAATACAAATCAACTCTAAAAAAAATCAAACCTGTAAATCAACCTATGCCCCTTTCTCTCAACCCTCCTCTTTCAAGACCACCACTCTCTAGAGACCCCTATGCAACCCCTTTAACTCCTTTCCCACCTTCATTTCAACCCACCTCCAAAGTTACACAAGAAAGACTGGATGTTATCAATTTTGGCCCCCCTGGATGGCTGTCAAATGAAGAATACAATTTATTAGTCTGGGTCATCACCCTCAGGCAGGGAGCCTTGGCCTTTGTGGAACAAGAAAGAGGACTACTCAAACACACCTATGGACAACCTTACATCATTCCTGTCATTCCTCATGAGCCCTGGCAACAAAAACCAATTAATATTCCAGCTCCAATCAGGCCTCAATTCATTGAACTGGTAAGGGAAAGACTCAAGACTGGCCTTTATGAACAATCCTTTTCCAGTTACTCCAGCCCTGTCTTCTGTGTAAAAAAGCAAGATGGTAAATTAAGAATTGTTCATGACCTTCAACAACTCAACAAAGTCACCATTAAGGATGCAGGTCTTCCACCTTCACCAGAGGAATTAGTGGAGTCATTTACTGGACGTGCTTGCTATGGACTTGGGGACATTATGGGAGGCTATGATGAAAGAGAATTAGCACCAGAATCCAGACCATTAACAACCTTTGAAACTCCACTTGGCAGGTTCCAACTCACCAGACTTCCTCAAGGTGCCACCAACTCAGTTGCAGTCTACCAGGCCCAGATGACTTGGATTCTTCAAGATGAATTGCCAGAAAACATGGGAATTTTCATTGATGATGGAGGAATCAAAGGACCAACTTCTGACTACAATGGAGAAACCCTGGAGGCCAACCCAAAAATTAGAAGATTTATTTATGAATATGCCATCACTTTGGAGAGGATACTTTTCAGAATTGAGGAAGCTGGACTCACCATTTCTGGCAAGAAATTTGCTTGCTGTGTTCCAGCTCTGGATCTTGTTGGCCATGTTGTCTGCAAGGAAGGAAGAAGAATCTCAGTCAAGAAGCTCAATAAAATTGAATCCTGGCCAATTCCCACCACTCCAACAGCTGTCAGGGGATTCCTTGGAATTTGTGTTTATGTCAGAATGTTCATCAAAGATTACTCCACCATCACTGCGCCTCTCAGAAAACTCACCAGGAAGGACTCCACCTGGGATTGGACTGATGAATGCCAGGATGCCTTTGAAGAACTGAAGAAAATCATTGGGACTGACATCACCCTCAAGAAATTGGACTATGGACCTGGAGCTGGCCTCATCAAGCTTTCTGTGGATTCCAGTTACATTGCTGCTGGAGCAGTTCTTACTCAGGAAGATTCAGCTGGACTGGACAGACCTGTTATTTATGAGTCAGTAGTCTTTTCAAAAAGAGAATCTGAATACTCACAATCCAAACTTGAGCTCTGTGGAGTCACCAAAATCCTCAAGAAACTTCAAACCAAACTTTGGGGCCAACATTTTCAGCTCAGAGTGGATGCCAAGTGCCTTATTGGAATGATCAACAACCCCTCACTTCCCAATGCCCCTATGAACAGATGGATAGCCTTTATTCAGCTTTTTTCTTTTGATTTGGTACATACTCCAGGTAAAACTTTCACCATGCCAGATGGACTTTCCAGGAGGCCCCCAGATCCAGATGAAGAAGATTGTCCTAGTTTTGATGAAGATGAACAATGGATGAAGCCACACCCTGGATTTGGAGTCAAACAAGCTTTTTCTGGAGTGCTGCTGGGGACATCAGCTCAGTTGGGGGAGGGGGTAACTTCTCTGCAACAAGGAATTTGGAAGCTCTTGGAAGAATACCTTGCAACAATGAACAGACCTCCTGGATGCAGTAACCTGGAATTCAAACAAATTTTGCACAAATCAGCCTCTTTTTTCCTTTCCAATGGAGTCCTCCACAGAATTAACAAACCTTTCTCCCAGATTGTGGTCACTTCCCCCACAGCTCAGAATTCTATCCTTCACTCCCTTCATGAATCCTTAGGCCACAGAGGAATCACTGAAACTTATACCAGAACCAAGCTCAGATTTTGGTGGCCAGGTCTCAAGAAATCAGTCACCAGATGGGTCCAGTCCTGTGAAGCTTGCCAGAAAAGGAGTTCAGTCTTGCCAATGGAGCCAAGGAAGCCTACAGGAAAATCAACAATCTTTGGAAGAGTCAGTCTGGATTCAGTTCACATCAAAGCAGGAAGATGGAAATATCTAGTTCTGGCCAGAGATGACCTCTCAGGATGGGTGGAAGCCATTGGACTAGAAAAACTTCAAGCAAAGAAAATATCAGAATGGTTCCTGGAACATTGGATTCACAGATATGGAGCTCCCTTGGTTGTAGCAGTGGATGGAGGCTCTGAATTCAGCAAGCAATTTCAAAAATCCCTTCAAGATTCTGGAATAAAGGTTAAAGTCACCACACCATACTACCCAGAGGCCAATGGTATGGTTGAGAGAGGACATCAAGCAATCAAAGACACCCTGGTCAAGCTCTGTGGACAGGAAGGCAAGAAATGGAGAAATTATTTACCATTAGTCTTATTTGCTGACAGGATTTCAACTAAAAGATCAACTGGATACTCACCTTATGAACTAGTTTTTGGCCAGCCTCCTATCTTACCAATTGACCTTGAATTGGAGACCTTCTTTGGAGTGGAATGGGATCAAGTGGCAACAACTCAGGACCTTCTCTTGGCCAGGGTAACTCAACTGGAGAACAGGGACTCTGTATTGCAAAAGGCACATCAAAAGCTATTGGAAACTAGAGGTACATCTGTGGACTACTGGAACAACAAGAAGAAGACAAGAAAACCATTGAAAGAAGGTGATTTGGTATTAGTCTACAACAAATCCTTGGACTCCCAGTGGGGCAAATTGTTTGAAAACAAGTGGAATGGACCTTACAAGGTGAAATCTCAAAACCCAGGTGGATCCTATACTCTGGAGGAACTGGATGGCTCTGAATTGGCCAGAAGGTATGCTGCAAGTCATGTAAAAAAATATTACACAAGAAAATAAAAAAAAATAAAAAAATAAAAAAAAATCAGTATATATATATATATAAAAAAAAAAAAAAAAATAAAAAAAAAAAAAAAATAATAATAAAAAAATAAAAATAAAAATAAATAAATATCTTACATACCTTGGTTTTCTATCATGGCCTTAATTTCTGACACATACTCTTCAGTCACTTCCTCTGACTGAGCCTCTAAAAAAAAAAAAAAAAAAAAAAAAAATAAATAATAATAATAAAACAAAATTAAAAATGTATATAAAAAAAAAAAAAATAATAAATAATAATTAGTAACAGGTTTTCTCAAATAGCTCAACTAAAGTATTCTAGTAAAAATAACTCACCAACTTCCTTGTGAAAAACAATCATCTCTTCCTTATCTTTCTTCTTCTCTTCCTCCCCTTTAGCCTGGATTAAGGCCCTTCGAAGTTCCATGGGCGGGCCTAGCTGATGCATGTAAAGCTAAGAAATTGAAAAATTAGAATTAGAAACGATCTCAATGCGCCTCGCGAAAGGGAAAATCTCAACTCACAGTCGAAAACAGGTCTTCGACACGGCTGTACAACCGTAAACGCTGAATTCGATCTGTTTCATTGGCGGCGCGGGAGCTCCTGGCGAAGCGGATGAGTTCGTCTGTAATCAGGATTCTCAGGTCGTGTATTTCTTCGAGCGAAAAGGTGTCGCGGGTGAACGCTGGGCTAAAATTGGAATAATCGGCGGGATGAGTCGAAGACCGCTTGTCGACTGAATCATAGTCGACTGGCGAACAAATGTTGCTGGAATCGTAATCAAACGACGAACGCTCGTCGATGGAATCAGAATCCGAGCAGGTACCAGTAATAGTAGCGTCGGTTGAGGCGATTGACATTGGCCTCGAGGAAGTCATGGCTAAAAAGCTAAAATAGGAGTTTTTTTTTGGGGGAAAGCTCGATGGCTGCGATAGAGGACGGTGTGGCTAGACGGTCTGTAGGAATTACTAGGGGCGATGGGCTTTTCGTTGGGCACCACCGCCGTCTTTTATGTCTGAAGAATCACTCGCTGGAAAGGTCGCCCAGCTGCTATCGGAGCTGCAACCAGGCAACCCAGAGGATAGGACTCATCCCGTTTCGTTTCGCCTTCGCCGAGGATTTTCTTTCATTTTCTCTCTTTTTATCATTAACCAAAACCCCGACCTAGGTTTTAACGGCATTACTCTACGCGCTGGTGGCATGATCGTTCGACCGAGGACTTTGTTTCCTTTCTTGAGGCTATGCCGTTCGATGCCGGCTTACACACAAACTTTAATATCATCCGTTGCCGGTGCTCGATCCGGCTGTGTTGTTCATTCTTCTTTTCATTTAACCTTTCTCGATTCCGGTGCGCGGTCCGGGCGGTATTCTGTTCCTGCTATTCGATTCAGGCCTTCTTTTTTTTCTTTTCTCATTTTTTCCTTTCGACGCCGGTGCTCGACCCGGACCTTTTTCATCAGGCCGTGCTTCCATCTCTCTCGATTCCGGTGCTCGATCCGGGCAGTGCCGTCTTAGATTCTTTCCTTTCTTTTATTTTCGATGCCGGTGCTCGATCCGGGCTATGTTTTATAGTTTTTTTTCTTTTTTTTTAATGTTGACTCTGGTGTTCGACCCAGTTCCGATGCCTTCCCTTTCATTCTATGACATCACTGCATCTTCGACATCGGTCTTTCGTCTTCGCCGAGGGTCGTGCGCTGGTTCCTTTGCTTTCTTTCCTTAAGTCTGGCCCTCTTGGGGACTGTTTTTCACCGGACCCCTTTTCTTTTAGGCTTTTCCTCTTCTGGAATTCCTGGACCTGCTTTCCTCAATCTGGCCAGTAATGAAATCAATTTTTTTTCAAGAATCTATTTAATCTCTCAACATTTTGGAGAAATGAAAAAGGACCGATGGACCCATGAAAACCCCAGAAATTGGAGCTCCATCACCCACAGTTGACCATCACCTCTGTACCCCACCATTCACCAATCACCTGACCTTTACCCCCCCCACCTGGATTTTTGGTTTTTCCCACCATGTAGAAAATTTACTCCTCCTACTATGTAGATATTTTTAGTCATCCACCATCATCACAAATTATTACACTTATGAATTCCAGTCATAATAGCCATTTTTGTTGGTTACACTTCCTATATATATATTATTACATCCATCATTTTTGAAGTAGTTCTTTCAGAAAAATCCCTCCTTATTTTTTATTCCTGTGTGTTATCTTCCTCAAAACTTCTTCAGATTTTGGTATATATATTAGTGCATCCCAGCCTTGAAATAATTAGTTTGAACCCCAGCTTTACTCAGATTTTTTCAGTCAGATTGAATAGAAGATATTTTACATAGTTTTATTTTACTGGATATATTTAGTTTACATACTATTATAAACCTTTTACTTCCTTGGACCTCTTTTCTGGACTTTGGATTTTGGTTTCTTTCCACCTTGGCATCTCAGATTTTTTCTCTTTGGACTTTGGATTCAGACTCTTTTGGACCTTGGAATTCAGAATTTTCTTTATCAACTTTACCTGCCTTTCAACTCAGGTCTTACTCCTGGATTGGTCTTCTTGGATGGATCAGACACTCCTCCTGGACTTGGATCAACTTCAGAAGTCTTTACCTACTTTGGCCTTCTTGTTGGAACCAGATACTCCAGCTTGAAGATGATCAACTTAGGTCTTACTCTTGATATTGGCCTTCTTGGATGGAACAGATACTCCCCCTTGAAGTGGTTCAATTATCATTAGTCTTTTTTTTTCTCTTACTGGCCTTAGGACTATTTTGGACTATTGGACTCAGTTTTTTCCCTTGGATTTTCTTTGGTCACCTGGCTTTGGCTTTCTTGGATGGAACTTCAACCTCAGGACTCTTGAACTTGGCCTCATTGAAAGGATAACAGAATTCCTCCATTGGGTGGCCCATTTTTAAGAATTTTCTTTAGATACCTGGACATTGGCTTCCTTGGATTGGTTCAACCCTGGAATCTGGACTTGGCCTCTTGGAAGTGGTTCAACTTTGTTTTTATTTGGATTTGGCCTCTTTGGATTGGAACAGATACTCCTTCCTTAGGGTGGTTCACTTTTGGATACTATGGACTTGGCCTTCTTGGAGTGGATCAATGTCTGGATTATATTTTGGCCTCTTGGATTGGATCAACTACAGTACTTTGGATTTGGCCTTTCTTTTTTTTGGATACAGATTCCCTTCTTGGTCTTATTTTTGGATACAGGACTTGGCCTTCTTGGATGGAACAGATACTCCTCCTGGAAGTGGATCAACCCTGGACTCTGGATTTGGCTCCTGTTGGATGGACCCCTTCTGGATTCCCTTGCTTCCCTTACTAGTTACTTTTTTTTACTCTTTCTTTATATTCTTTTAGTCTTCTATCTTCATACTGGCTGCATTGTCTGGGGACAGACAATAAGTTGGGGGAGGATGTGGTAACCCATACCTTTCCATATCATCTATTATTTTACTGTACATTCACTGGGAATTGTTATAATATTACTACAGAATCAGATTCTACACCCCTTTTTACCTATAGTCACTCACTCAAGTCATATCTCATTTCTTACTGGTTCCTTAGTTATTTGCAGTTTTAGCTTTACAGATATTATTCTTTACATTTACATTACACATTAACTACATACAGTACATATTTACAGGTTACCACATACATCATATTTTTCTCAAGTATTATTTTCTTACATATATCTCTTCACATTACATCAGCCACACTCCTTTACAAGTACTTCTTTTCACATTACATACTACATATATTTTCTCAAACACACTCCTTACAATTATGCTTTCTCATATGCCTTCAGGATAACAGTAGTACACTCTTTCACAGTCTTTATCTTTTGGGATTGTTTTTCTTTACTCATCCTCCCTTTTGATTGTTTACTCTTCACATCTCTTGTTCTACATTTGTACATTGTGCTTCCATAGCCAGACTGACTGTAACCTGTGCTCATTTGTACCCTGAAGTATATATACAGTCTTCTTATCATTTTTGTACACCCCTTATGCATTTTCTCCCCTACAGATATTATTGTGCCCCTCAGATAAAATCTATTTTTTTACTTTCAGAACTCACTTTAGTGACCTTGCCCTGTTTAGGTGCTTGCCCCAGAAATACCTTTACACTCAGTGTCCTCAGAGCTCTGCTTTATTTACAACTCTCATAGTCTCACTTCTTCCCCTGTAGGTTGATAAGGAACAACCTCATCAGTTATAGCAGTCTAAGAAATAGATAGAAATTAGCCACACCTCTTCTTTATTTTCTTAGTGTAACCCTCTCTCCTCAGCATTAGTCTCAGAGGGCAGCCTCATCAGCACTTATAGCTTAACTTACATTACTAGTAGTGTAGTTTGCTATTTCCCCTCTAAGCTCTGTTCTGGTTGTTCAGCAGTTCCACAGCGGAAGAGAGCGTAAAAGAGCGGAGAAGAGTGGAGCGTGGAGTCGGAGCGATGAAATTCCAACACCCCCCTCAATTTGGTGAGAAAAGAACTAGGAAACATCGTTCCTTGAGACGTTGGAGTGATTGATGATTGCTTGCCTTGGTGAGGGCATCCGCCACCATTTCTTCGGAGGCGATTAGTTTGACGTTGATTTGATTCGATTTTTTGAGATCTCGGAGCCATTTTCCTTTGATGTCAAGGTGTTTGGTTTTTGAGTTAGATCCGAAGTTTTTAATTTTTTCGACTAGACCTTGGTTGTCAACGTGGAACTCCGTGGGATTTAGTTTTTCTTTCCAAAGTTCCTCCACCAGATAGGAGATCCACTGATTTTCTTGTGCTCCGTCTGATAATGCATTCATTTCGGCTTCGGTTGAAGAGAGAGTGATATTTCTTTGTTTTTTGCTGCTCCACAAGACAGGACACGATTTCCAGAAGCAGATGGTGCCGCTTCGAGATAGCCGGGTTTCTAAGTCGTCAGCCCAAGTTGCATCTGTGTAATATTCTAGGGCTTGAGATTGATCCGTTGAATCCGGAGTTAGATTCAAGCTGAGTTCCGATGTTCCGGCGAGATACTTCCAGCAGTGGATCACTTCCTTCCAATGAGTGATTCCGGGTGCATGGTTGAAGCTGGATAAAATTGAGACTGCAGGGGCGAGGTCTGGACGAGTTCGACAGGCTAGAAAGTTGAGAATTCCAGTGAATGATCGATAGTTGACATTGAGTTTCTCGAATTTGGTTTTTTCTTCTTCAGTTGCCTCCTTCAGTTGCACAGCCACTGAGAGCGGAGTTTTGACGGTACGACATTCAACTAGATCGAGTAGTTCAAGTCCCTTCTGAATCAGCTTTGGTTGAGACAGTCGGATCGTACCTTCTTCTTGATTAACTTCCATGCCTAGAAGAGAGTCTGGATCGTGAGCTGTTGAGTTCGGAAATCGATTCATGAAAAGTGATTCGAATGCATTCACATTTCCTACCACAATTAGGTCATCTACATGGAAGAAAATGTATGAGTTTCTGTCGTTGTGGATGTATAGGCACGGATCAGACGTTGATTGATGAAAGTTGATCGATTCGAACCAGTTTGTCAGGGTGTCATACCAGTTTGCAGGAGCCTGTTTGAGCCCGTACAGTGATTTCTTCAATTTGAGGTATGGAGCCTTTCGCTTGGAACCTTCTGGCGTTTTGATATAGACTTCTTCTTTAAGAGGTGCGTACAGGAATGCGCTTTTTACATCAAATTGCCTAAGATCCAGTTTCTTGTCGACGGCAAACATGAGAAGCATGAGCAGTGTCGTGAACTTTCCGGTGGGAGCAAAAGTGTTCCCACATTCTTCGGGTAGTTGAGCAAACCCCTGAATACAAAGTCGAGCCTTCTTGCGTTCTTTCGAAGAGAGCGTGGCTGGTTTTGTCTTGAATATCCATAAGG